CGTAGCGTGCGGCAGCGAAGTGCCTAGCAGCTACACCACAGATGCCGGTCTAAGCACTATCTGTCCGAGTCGAATTGCTGTACACTGTATGTCTCATGACCTCAGAAATTATATCCATCAATTTCAAGACTAAGCGTCGTCGATCCAGCTTGATTTTTTAGGCAAAAGCAATACGAACGTGTGACAAATACAAGGTAAAGCCTCTACCTCTTTAACAACAACAAATTAAAAACCAAACCAAGCAAAACAAATTACATGAAAAAAACAAAACATCAATGACGATGATGATAACCACATTTATTTGTAATTTATAAGTTCATGAGTCTCGCTTGCAACAAATATTATAATATTATTTCAAACAGCCTTCCCATGACCCACGCGGCCACAAAAAGAGAAAGAATACAAGTTCAGACCGAGTTGTCAACAAAGAGCAACACATTTATGATATAGATCTATAGGTACAATAATTTTTGAGTTTGATCATCATAATCTTGGTGATTTACATCAGAATCAAAGAAACTATCATGCAGTCAACGGACTAGTGTATTTTGAAAGAAATGACAGCCAAGAAAGGTAACTGCATAGGCACACATGATGTAGATGCACACAGGATTTAAGAAAAACCTCCGTGGTAGAGTAGGGTAATCATTTATATTATTTTATTATTTAAAATTTTCATTATTTGACAAGTCAACATTAACAAATTGTAACAAAAAAGCAGTAAAAATAAAAGATCTATGAAACCTCAAGACATCTTGTAAGAAAGTACATCATAGGTGCTTCAAGAAACTTGAGATACATGTATGTACTATTCAATTCACTGGCACATTAAGGTCCAGATGAGTGCCCTGGAATTATTCTAAAGAAAGACTTAAGTACTAAATATAATCTATCTTTCTCAGATATGACAAAAGCATAGAAACAAATCATTTAAATAGAACTTAAAGCAGTCATATTAATTAGCTGATGCTGTTCTGAATGGAAGCTGGTGAGGTTCTTGTAAAACAGTTTTAATGTTGCATCAAAAAAGGCATAAATTCTTCCACACCTTTGAGAAATATTCAAAGAACAAACCTCTCCCCCCCCCCCCCCCTTCATGAATTTACTACACATTGTATGTACATGTAATGTAGTATTTTTGAGATCTAAATTTTCTCATTTGTGAAGAAGAAATCTGGGTACCTGGCACACATACCCTTTACTCCCTCTTGTTTTGTTTTAACAATGGATGGAATGGCTTTAGGTGAGTTAAATAACAATATACCCCAATATTTATACATTATTTTCTTATTTAAATTTTTTTTTTACAACAAAAATAAATGTGTACAATGGCAAAAATCTAAATCATTGGAATTTTTGAGAGGGCAAAACAACTGCTCAACTTTACATCACAGAGAATTGGACACTCAGAAAAAGACTTACTTACATCAAATCTCACATCATAAGTACACTTCACAATGACAGCAGTACGTTTAGTAAAAACAACAGCAGCAATTAAGAAATTCATTTAAATTTACAAAAACACAACAGAATAAAGAAAGAAGTTATAGAGATGACTATCTCACATTACAAGTTCATTCGATGACATGAGTCAATGAGTAGCACAAAACTTATCTGAAAGATGTTTCAGCATTGAGGACACATTTCATCTGCCGGCTGTTCAATATATTAAGTCCCAAAAAATGTTATGTTCGGTTGTTGTTTTTTAGTAACGTTTCTTAATCTGTTGCATGAGATCAAAAATATATTTCATCAAAATTTAAATTCTAAATGTTGAAAAAGGTAGACTTACATGATAAAGTAGGCACGACTGTTAAAAGAATGAAACAGTTTTTCTTTCGCCTAAAAAAATTTGTTTTCGTGGCTTAGAACATTGTAACAGCATGCCGATATATAATCTTAGAATGGAGATCTACTTCAAACCTCCATTAAAAAATTATTTGATCTAGTACTACACACATCCGGGGTCTCCCCTCTCTCAATAGGACCAAATGGGGGGGGGGGGGGGGGGGGGGGGTAGCTGGGACACAAGTGAAAGACACAACTTTGACCCAAATTTTAAGAACAGTGGGCTGGAAGTAGACTTTTACATTATCAAATATCCACAAATCTACGTCAGCAGACATCAAAAAATGAACTTTCAAGAATGTAAGATAAAATCTCTCCACTTAAGTTCAGCTTTGACATTTGACTGACTGAAAGCATGAGGACTTAATAAGCATGATAATAGTGTGTTTATTATGTATTTTTAAAACAACAAAATTTCACATAGAAATAATGCTTAGATGGGTACACTAGGGTTACTGAGCCTTGAAAAAGTAGCACATATATATATATATATTCACATCTTTTAGTTGGAGTGATGTCTGGTGTTGCTAGAAGATTTTCAGAAACATAATGTGAATACAATACATAGCAAACTGACAAGTCAAAAGCTGATACCAGGTAAAAATTAGTTTTCTTTTTCTTTGAATACAGGTGTTTCTACACCCCCATAAACACAATTTAGATCATTTTTGGAGTTGGCCTTTGACTCTGCCTGTCAGGATCAACACAGGCTTTGAGGGATACAAAGTCCCAGCAGAAAGACTGTATGTAATGCTCCATAAAAATTATCCCTACATGAGAATGGAACTTAGGTATTCTGTGCATAACAACATAGCCCTCCAATTGTTGCACCACAAGACACCAGTAAAAAGCAATATATCCAAGTCGAAAATTCCTGCTTTCAGCAATATGTGACATATTGCATGCTGACAACATATTACGTAAATGAATACTTAACACTTAAGTCAACTCTCTCAAAAGCATTTACAATGACATCTAGTTCGCTGTGAGCCCCTATAGGGAATACACAAATTCATTTGTTTACATATTCCACCGTTCCAGGCTCTTTAAGTCACATAAATACTTTTTAAAATACCTTTCAAATGGAATGCGAAGACAGGGAGGTAGAGAGAAAGAATTATTGCAACATAAAACAAAATGGTAAACCTTACAAAAATTGGAGACTCAATTTTTGGTGCGGTGACTGCATTCTTAAACAAGAGCATTGTAATAGTCTGTCCAGTTAACACCTTTGACTTTGACAAGATAAAAAGTCTTTCCATACATCCTAATTACAATGGAACAATCTGAATTATTTACTATCTTTCACCCACATCTAGATAACTTGCTCATAAAATTACTGATATATAATATTTAAAACTTGCTCATAACTTTTAATATAATATTTAAAACTTGCTCATAAAATTACTGATATATAATATTTAAAACTTCACTTAATCTGCCCAGAGAACTCTTTTTATAAAGAGCTTTTCAACATATTAATGCACTTAGGTAAAATAGAGAAAGCTGGGAAGACAATTTATAGGACTGGCATAAGTTAACTTACAGAAAGAGGAAATATGAGTAATTAGTAAGGTAAGAGTAAAGGCAAGGGAAACCACCTCACTTAAAGAGAATAATAAATAAAAACATATCAGGGATTACTGGGCCTGAAAAATGTTCCAACTCTTGTGAAACAGAAACTTACTCATTGAATATTCTTGGCACGGTGTACAATAAATTGAGACCCCCAAAAACAGGCACTCGTCAAAATAATTAAAGTGAAGAAATTGGCATTTTTCCCACAGGTTTGTGAATTTTTATCGAATTTTTTTGGTTTTTGACTCAACACCTTTGACTTTAAGATTGTACTAATAACTCTAGATGCCCAAAAATTGACGATAGCTTGATTCCACCATGCTGTGACACATTGCTCTCTGGATTTTACTGACAAACGTTGATTAAAGTTACAAAAAATGAAAATTTTCAGTTTCCACGGACTCTCGAGCTGAGGAAATAACTTATCTTAGGCAGCCATTTTCTCATTAATTTTACCTCTGAAACTAGGTGACCCCCACCTCCTTCATTCGCAACTATCTCGACTTCTATTCAAGATAAAAAGGATTTTTTTCATCCAAAGCAAGACAAATGAACAAGCTTTAAGATTGTACCAATAACTCTAGATGCCCAAAAATTGACGATAGCTTGATTCCACCATGCTGTGACACAAATAAACAGAGAGAGACAGACAGACAGATCATTTTTATGTATAAAAATAAATAGTCAACCCTCGATTAGTTTATCAACATCTTTGCTTGGAAAATACTTACAGTGAGTAATATTTAATAACAAAAAACCTTGCTCATGCTCTTATTATAATATAGCCATGTCACAAGTTCCCGATAGGATTAGTTACTACCATAGCTCTCCCTACTAAATCTACTCAATTATCTTTCGCACAAGGTCAGTGATGAGGTACAGTATTCTGTTGCACTGCACACAACCACTACCATACAAAACAGACTGATAACAATGTATCATATTTCAGGGGTGGTGAACCAAGAAAAACAATTGATATAGACTCTATCATCAGTATCACTACTTCACCAGGAGATGATGCAACCGCACACTGAAGCTGGTAACACATGTATGAAGGTTTATGATGGATAAACAACTCATGAGTGTAGAAAGCTCACATATATGCCGTTAAAAACAATCATTAACACTGTACAGAAACGGTTTTCATAATTTACACATGATAAAACCCAGCCTTTAATAATTGAAGTAGTCTTATCAAATTTGTTTATGTGTGGTTGCCCACCCCTGTAGTCATACCATGAACCTCATTTTAGAACAAAAACTGCAAAATAGCCTCAGCTAAATCAACCATTTCATAAGGGCAAAAAAAAATATTCATTTCAAATCAATTTCAGTATTAGATAGGTCAAGAAGGGGAGAAATAGGTTTTTATAATTCAGAACTTACTTTAAGTATGTCTATGTTGAATTGTAAGTTAAAAAAAAAGAAAAGTACCATTGTTGATTCATCATGGGCATGCCAAGAATTAGAAAGACATATTAAAATACTGTCCAAAAAACATACAGTATAACACAGATAGGCCGAACACAGAAGACTAGAAATCATGCATCCGTCAAACTGTGCCTGCGATCTTGTTTTTTTCCCCCTCTCTTTATCTTTTTAAGATATCCCTTGACTACGGATCCCTCGAACTATCGAGGCCGGCCAAATGAATTTGAGCTATGGTTCCGTGTAATACTGTATATAGTCCACAAAGATAATTTCATTGCACACATTACATTATATTTACACATACTGGGTGTCATTTTTTTTTTTTAAGAACCACGTAAAGGGCAATAATTCGATTATCTTTGCACAAATTTCAACAAAACTTTGAACAAACGAATATTCAACAACACGCAAAGGGTTCGTTGGATTTGTCAATATGAAGAAAAATAATCAAAGTGTGCAAAAAAATGTCAAGTTTTAACAATTTCAACCAAAACTGGGTAAAAGGCAAAACTCTTCAACTTCTTAGAAATCAATCATAATGTAGCCTACATATTTAATTTATTGTGCATTGAAGAATAAATTTCTTTGAAACCTAACATTTTCGTGGACTGTGCCAAAAAAAAAAAGAAGATGACCCATTCTAAGCGCAAAGTTTTTCTTTTGGGGATTTTTAAAAGACAGAGTCTACAGAAACAACCCACAAATAATCGAACAGTTGAAACATAACTTTGAACAGAAGGTCCAAAGAATGGATAACACACATACCACAAGGTTATTCACAATTTCCAGTGGCGTATTCAAGTTCGTCTGGAGAATAAAATAGTCAACACCAGGAGCGTATAATTCAAATAGCTACCATCTTCCCCAAGTTTGTCTGGCAATGTTGATTTCAATTAAATTTGTTCTTTAATGCACATATATATAATATATTCACTTTATGTTGGATTTTTTTAAGTTGTTAAGTTTTGCATTTTCTCAATTCTTAATTAAATTTCTAAAACTTGATACTTCTCAAAGTAGGCTATGTAAGTCAACTTTCCTACTGTAGAAAGATTTGATATCCCCTTTATTGAATTTTACTTGTTCAAAGTTATGTAGAAATTGGTGAAAAGACAAAATTTTGGTCCTCTAAATGAGTTCCTTCTTTTTAGACACCTGAAGAACCCAAACTGACCCCTCCATGACTCATTTGATGAATGCCATTCATTATTTATTTCTTTACCGTGAAAGAGGCAAGATGCTGTAGTGACGAATGGCATTTGTCATGCCTTAAAAAAGCGTAGGGACCATAATGGCAAATGCTGTTCGTTATATCTCGTAATTGGCATACTGCTTCTATCAGGCGCACTTCATACATCTTATTGCAAATTCAAATATTCTGCAATACTTTTTCCATTCAAAGCAATCTTTTGCTGTTAGGCTTAGGTATAGTTTGCAATATCTACCAACTTATCAACTAATCTAATCAGCCACTAAATCTAGCACTACCCTCAGTCCCTGAGTATCCAAAACTGTGCTCAATGAAGCAGAAATTTACCCTATATCAACTGCAACATAATAAACTTTTTAGGAAAGAAAATGAGTAAAAGTTTTAAAAAGGTTCAATAATTCAAGTCACTTATGAAACATTGTCAGAAAATAAGCTTTTATGACTGACAATTAAAAAAATTTCTTGTGGTCAAAGAGACAAAGAATTCCACAATACAACTCACAAGTTAAAGTAATTGTCAGGAAACGAGTCTTTACGACACACAATGGTTTTGTGTAAGCGGCCCATGTCTGTATTGTCCAAGTCGGGGAACCTCGAATCTAGAGTGACATTGAAGCGGGTATGTTTGTCATACAGACTGTGCACAGCACCCGGCCACTGCAGTTTGAGCAAAGTTGGGGTGATAACCAGCCCCCCAGAACTACCAGGACAAGTCGCTGCATTGTAATATTTAATCACACGCCTGGCCTCAACTTTTTCCTGACAAACGTGGCCTATGCTAATGTGTTTGGCCAGGCCGTGTGGGTGAGATATGACGGCCACCCAGCTTTGCAAGAGCTTTGGGGCCAGCGTTTCCTGAGTCTTTATTGTGCTGCAAACCATCTGGTTGTAGCTAGACCTGGCATTCTTCAAACAAGTTTCAGCGTAATGAAACAGCGACTTTTTGTGTGACATGACGTGCAGAATAATGTGGTCCTGACACGTGTTCACACCAATGATGGAACCCACGTGGCCATGCACCACCCCTTTGCCATCTGGAGTGTTAAAGAAAAACTTTACATAGGCATTATCTGCTTCCGACTTGTCGAATATGACATGGCGATTAGTACGAATATTCAGACCGCCATAAAAGTAATGCTTCTGGCTGCTACCCCCACTAGAAGAAGCGCTGGACGAACTAGCCGTACTAATAGTACTTACAGAACGATCAAAACTGGGTGCTATGTCAGTAATTGGTGGACTATACGGAGTGTTAGAATCTGAGGACATATTCAGACAACACTCAAGACAGTCTTCTTTTCTGCAGCGGAACCTCTGAATGCTCTCGTCCACGGAGGCGATGAATCCAGAGCCGTGTCTCTTGCGGTCAGTGCCTATGTAACTTCTGTACACGTCATCCGAGTCCCTCCCAGAGCTTGTCGAATGTACTGTGATCTGGACAACCAGCTGGGACATGCAGTTCAGAAATGTCAGACTGTCTTCGTGTTGGATCTCTCGGGGAAGATCCCTTACCTGACAGGATGGGGGAAAATATTTGAAAATCAGAAATTAAACTGATTATAACAATCAAGCTTGAAATAGATCTTCCTTTACGAGTGACAGGCTCCTGTGTTACTCGTTCACCCTATCCGTACATCGTGTTTTACTATCGTATCCATAAGACGTGGGGAACTCTGTGCCACCACTTTCCGAAGAGGAAACTTACTCTTTATTCCAATCAGTATGCTTTGCATAGCAGTCTGTCGAAATGATGTTTTGAGAAATACTGAAAGTTTCAAAGATATCTTCGAACTAGAAGTATTCTAAAATGTGAAGTAAGAATACAACCCCGGTGGTACAAAATGATCCCAGGGCGTACAGATAGGGTTAATCCACAAGGCTGTCACCCATATCAAAAGCCTTTTAAATAGTTTTACATGTTTAATCAACTCAAGTTCTGAAGCACATTTTTATCTGAAATAATTCAGTAGCTTCAGCCATGAAGTAAAAAAAATTAATTGGTGAACCTGAAGCCTAAAGCTCTAACATTGTTTTTTTAAGCAAATTTCTTATACAAAACTAGCATTATAGGTACAACTACGCAACAGACCATTCATACGATAATCATTCTACCTCATAAGGTGCAAGCTGTATTCATGGTCACCTGATGGTGTTGAGCGAAATGAAAACAAATCTAATTATTCTAATAAGATGAGATTTGCAGACTCATTTATAACAGGTTAAGAAAAATAAAAATGATAGAAATTCTATTATCACCTCAGAAAAAGAAACATGCTCACTCAATTTGAACAGAACCCTTTTGACACTGAGAAGTTATCTAAAAGACAGATACCTTAGAATTAGATTATAATCCCTTTATACTTAATAAACTAATCTCAAATTGGACCAAATCAAATCAATCAAAGACAGAAAACTTCTCAAACAAACCAAGGCAGAGAAAACTCAAGGCAAAGTAAGTTCAAAAAAGACCTAACAACAAAATCAAAATCTAAGAATGTCCAACTCACAACCCAGCAAAATACAAATCACAGCCAATGGTAGGCCCTACACCTGACATAACTCGTTATTCACAATGACTATCCCATTTAGATAGAAAATTTAACTGAACAAAATTAAAGCTACATCTTGAAAAAATTATTTCTGGCGACACTAGCAATACAATGATAACAATCGTTATATTTCTATTAATTACAAAAAGAGAAGTACAAATTCCGCCCAAAATACGCACTGCCTAGCCGTACTTAAGTACAGTCTAGCCGTCCTTAAGAAAGGCTAGCCTGCCAGTATAGCAGTCCTTCTAAAAGGTGAGGCCTTTTTTACCGAAACCTGTCGAGTACATATAGGTCTCAGTAATTATTCAGGTTTAAAATACACGCATGTCAGTAAGGCACCTTCTGGTTTCCTCTCAAATACAAATACTTTAGGGATTGCAAACTAAAATCCTATTTAGATCTACAATTCAATATTTTTTGCTTTTAGTCAGTCTAACCATCATTATTAATTAAGTACGGCTAGCCTCCCCCCCCCCCCCCCCCAAAAAAAAAAGACCCCAGCAGGGAATAGGGCTAACTAACTCTTACCTTCAAATCACTGGTCAAGAAGAATTTCTCATGTTTTGGGTTTTTCTTGCACTTTTTTAAATTTTGAAGAATGTCAGTGTTGCACTCCGACATATGGATTGCATCACAAAAATCACCGGCATCCTCACAATCATAATCGTCATCTGAAGTGTCTTTGACACGTGTACTATCAACAGTAAATTTCCCAGAGCCTTTGCCTTTTTGCAGACATCCAGCAACTTTTCTGTCTTTTTTACTGCCATGAGACAGATACTGCTGCTGATGCAGGTCATCAGCTTTTTTACTTTTCGTTTCCCGGCTTTCAGGAATTTTTACGTCCAGTGATGACTTGCAGCTGGAGCCTGCAGACAATGTCACAGCCTTACATTGTAACTCGCCTGAACTTGTGAAGTCTGATTCAACACTAGCGGCAGAGGTGATTTGGACGTTCTCATAGTATTCAAAGCTTCGTTTGGACTCAAACAGTACATTTCCAGAGTCTGAGGAATCCTCTTGAGCCAGTGGCTTCGACAGAGATTTGGAGATGGATGGCATTGAGGACACGCTGAAATCGGACGAACTGTTACCCTTTGAAGTTGGTGACAGCAGCACGGGACTAGTATTCGCGTTGTCAGAATCGCAGGAAAATGAAATTTCAAATCCCTTCATGGAATCTAAGGTGGCATTGTTGTACCTGCTGATGATATCTCCAAGACTTCCTAGGCTGTCATTTGGTGAGACTGCCATAGATGAACGAAATGCAGTACTAGATAATGAATTTTGGGAGTCACCAAAAGTTGGAGAACTGAACATACTATGAAGGGTGTCAGAGTCAAGGGAAGGCAGATTGACATCCCTGTATGCCATTCGTCTTGATTTTCTTGACGGTGGAGATGACGAGCCATGACTTCCAGAATTGTTGGAAGAAGACAAAAAGGATTCTTCCTTCATACTATCAGACCCATCGTCACAAATTGTTCGTTTCACTCCTTGGTTTTTCTGAGACATTGATCCTTGCGATGCAGCAACTGTCTGTGGCACTAAATGCACAGTATCTGACCGAGAGGGTAAGGGAGGGAATTCTAAACTGTTCAGGCTCTCCGGCGGCTCAGCATTCTGACCTGGCTGACGATCCATCATGGAACTACCTGAAATGGATTAAGAAAAGTAGATAAATTTTAATAATAATGTGAAGATACATAACAACAACGGACCAAAGAAAGCTGAGATTCCTGAAATCAGGCAGGAGGGGGGGAGTTCATAATATCAAAACAATACCAACAATATGTTAACTCACAATGGGGTTAATATATCCGACAGTGGACACATTTTGAATATTCTCAACAACAAATGTCATTGTTCTTTATATCTAGTGCACATTGCGGAAAAGTTTTGTCAAATATCCATGACACATTTGGTACATTCGGGGGTTGGTCAGGTTTTCCTTTATGGAGAGCAAAACCATCATTTTTGGCACAATTTGATCAAATCCTCCAATAAAACAATGAATTGTGTATTTATGTACTGGTATACGTGTTGGATATTTATTGAAAGCAACCAAACACAAGGCTACTACACATTGCAGAGTCAGATCTTTTAATTTATTTGCATATATATAAAGTATACGGATAGGTCAAACACAGAAGACTCGAAATCACGCATCAGTCGAACTGTGCCTGCAGTCCTTTTTTTCTTCTTCTTTATTTTTGTAAGATATCCCTCGAACTACCAACAACAACAGTAGCCTCTGTATTGTTTTCCACTCCGTCTATAATGCATGAGTGTTGTTTGTGTGCAAACATTGAAACTGTATGTTACATTTTTTTAATGATTCCATTAAAGTGATAATGTGCTGAATGATCTCTTTTTATCTGAAGTCATTACCTTGTTAATTGGAGCTAGCTAAAAAGCAATTTTCATAAAAGGTAAAATGCAGTTAAGCACGATAGTTCACACAGTGGTCTGTGGTGGTTTTACACCTCAGTGACCTCTGACAGTATTTAACTCTTTTGTGTAGATTGATCCTGTTTTATTTGAAGCCGCCATTACCTTGTTAATTGGAGCTAGTAAACACAAATTTTAATCTTAGTTCAATTGTAGCCAAGCACTGTTCTTCAGGCATCTGATCTGTGGTGGCTTTACACCTCTGACAGTAATTTTGTCTTCCTGAAGATGGGTCAGGGGCTGCAGTTGAAGGTCCGGGAGCTGCAGTTGAAGGTCCAGGGGCTGCAGGTGGAGATGGTGGGGCATTAGGCAAAGGTTGGGCTTCCAGCTTTGGAAGAGTCTGGATGGGTAGGCATGGGCCGTCATAATGTGGGCTGGGTGGGACGGGCGTTGAGTTTGCAAGTGGAAGAGAGGATATGATGCCTCTCTCTGCGTCTCGCCTGGCCTTCATTTTCTGCCTCTTCTTCTCCTTGATCCGTCTTTTCTTTTCAGCTGACTCCCTCGCTCTTGATTCTGCTCTTTGTCTGTGAACATTTTAAAAAATATTGCATTCAAACTTTTGTTAACCTTCGCCGGCCATCATAAGAGGGTCCAAGAATTGCATTAGCTGGTTAACCAAACAAGCCACTGACCTCAACCCCTAATGTAATCTAAATTGATCACATCTTACAGCATTTTCTATTGCACATTTACCATATATGTGACATATCAAACTTTCTATCTCCTCCGAGTACACCAAGGGGTCTTTTTTTACCCATATGTCTAGCATCTGCGTTTGTTGCCATTTTTTTGTCCAGAAGTTGCCACAAAAATATCAAAACTTGCCCAAAAAGTTGCAATTAATTTTCAAGCTTTCTTCTCTCCGAGACGACATAATATAGCAATATGTTGATAGAGGTACCTTAATCTAAAACACTAGAATTTCTAGTGCTCTGTTTTTAGCATCCAGAATATCATTTGTAGCTGCCCAGAGTGTAAAAATGTGAAAAATAAAGGTTTCACAACAGAAGTAAATCAAAATTAGAACAGCAAATAAACAACCACAAAAATTAGCAAATAAGGGCGTGTGTCAACCCATCCATAGACTGGCCGTTTTAACCCTAAATGCGTGTAATTCAAGAAAAAGTACAGGATGTTTCATGTAAATTATGGAATCACACACAAGGGGTCTGCCAGTGTCAGTATTCGGTTTTGGTGGAGACACGCTCTAACATAAAACATAAAAAAGTAGGAAGAACATTACGCTATATATACTATACACCAAAATAAAATAATAGAAAAACAACACAACAGAGTAATAACGAGAAGGAAAAAAATTAACACACCAACAAATTAAAACACAACAAAGAGTGAAACATGTAAGAGAAACAGCAATATAAATAGTAAGTAAAGTAGCGTACTTATAATTATTCTTCACATGAAAATTACAAATCAACGTGGTGTTAACAAGTGAGAAAGAGACGAAGTGGAGGAAAGTGAAAATAAACTTTCTTTCTAAACGTAAAGAGGTTCGGTTTCTTTTTTTTCACGAATGTTATTCCCCGTTTTTGTTGTTGTGTTGTTAAATTATTTTTTCTTCCCGGCCGTTGCTTTGTGTTTGAAAAATTCAAAAATCGCGGCCGCAATTCGTGGACCAAAGGTGCCAAAAATCGTGGCCGCGACAAACGCAAATGCTAGATATGTAAACTATAGGAAAATACATTGTGGGTTGCTTTAGACTCCTATGCAATGTATAGAAAAATATGTCGTACATTGTTTCTGAAGCAGTGATAATGGTTTTCGACCCTACTATAGAACTTTCAAAAGATCTAGCAGACTAGACTATAAGAGTTACTTTTTTGCAGCGGCATGTAAATCTATATAATAGATACTAAATTATATCAAGAGATCCTGTGTGTGTGTGTGTGTGTGTGAGTGTCCGCGCGTACATGTGTGTGTTCAGTGACACGGTGTGGGTGCGTGTGTAGGAAAGCATCGGTCAGAATGTGAGTGTGAGTGTGAGTGTGTGTGTGTGGGTATGAGTGTAAGTGAGTGTGTGTGTGTGTGTGTGTGTGTGTGTGAGTGAGTGTGTGTGCGTTCAGGGACAAGGTGTGTGTGTGTGTAAGGAATGCATCAGTGTGAATGTGTATGTCAATGTGTGTGTCAGTGACAAGGTGTGTGCGTGGGTGTGTGTGTTTAGTGACTAGGTGTGTGCATGTGTAGGGATGCATCAATGTGAACGTGTCGTCAGTGACAAGGCGCGTGCGTGTGTAGGGACGCATCAATGAGTGTCATGTGTGAGTGTGAGAGAGAGTTAATGTGCATACACATGATTTTATGGCAAGTGGTTGTTGGTGAGTACCTACATAACTTCACGTTTCAACGTAAACCTATTGTATCTGTGAGAGACGGTGTTATAAGAGTATTGTATTACCATTTGATGAGCAGAAATTTCCTTTTTTTTTAAACAGTAAATCTTATCTAATCTCATCTTATCACTAAATCTCTAAAAGAAAAACCATGTCACCACCAGCAATAACTGTGTGCTTTCTCCCCCTCACACACACATCATACTGCACAAACTGTGCTAACCCCTGTGACTTGACCCCAACAGCACACCTACACACGATGCAATCACACACTAAAAAACATGTTTTGTTCTGAACAAGCAAGGGCATATTTTTCTCTTCATTTAATGTAGGTCTGAAACAACCCACGCCATATATTTTCCACTATATTCAGTAATTGGTTTTTAATGACCAATGACATTATATTTATCTTTATTAATATGGGTCATAAGCAACCCAGTGAGTACATAGTGCACAGTAGATATCGACAAACTGGGAAGTCTTAGACTTAGATTAACTTGAACACAATTTATAATCACAATTGCTACGAAAAAGTGACCATTTTTCGAATACAAACAGCCCCTTGTCCTTGTGGAACTCGTCATGATTCTTGCCTTTGGATCATTTCTTACAATATATTTCTTGTATTCAATTACTTAACTTTTGTACATACATTGTATCATCACATTGCTGTAAAAAATAATGCATGTCATATGTATCAAATACTTACAGCCTTCTGTGTTCGCGGTACTCATCAGGAGTCATATCTTTCGGCTTCTTTCCACAATGAGTTTTTTTTCGGACTGGGTGGGTCCTCAAGGTTCCAGCATGGGTTAGAGCCCCATCCTCTTTTTTTGCCCGATATCTCTGAACTCTGAGTCTTAGATAAAAGAAAAGGCAAACACTTGTGGGGCATCATGTTGAAATCAGGCACTCATCAAAATAATGAAAGAAATCAAAGAAATTAGCATTTTTCAGCTTGTTTTGCAACTTTTGTTCGAATCTTCAATTTTAAGCTCAACACTTTTTATGTCCATTTAAAGTAACATTTACGTATTGTATAATGTTGATTTTACTATAAAAAAACGATTAGCCTAAAAAAGGCACATAAAATGTAAATTTGCAGTTTCTAAGTACTCTTGGGCTATGGAAGTCACCAAACTTCGGCGGCTATTTTTTAAATGATTATAAAGTATTCATGTTAGATATCTAGATGGGCATTTTTTTAAGAAAAGAAAGGAAAATGAGCAAGCTTTAAGATGATGCCAATAACTCAATATATATATGCCCAAAAATTGATTTTACGGCAGACTCCACCGTGAGACACATTTGCTTAATAGAACGGGAAGAACAATATAATTGTAAATTTAAAAACATTTACCGGTACAACAATGCAAAGGAAAAAAAACAACAATGGGAATGCTAACCTGTTCTTTTCCCTTTGAGCTTCAAGTTGTAGCTCCTTGGTTTTGGTAACAGGCTCTTCCCTCAGAGCTTGTCGTCTGCGCTTGGCAGCCTCTCTTTGCTTTTCTAAGTACTCTGTGTACTTCTCTGGCTCCTCTTCCTTCATTTTACGCCGATAACGAGCCATTCGTTCCGCCATTCTGACAAAAAAGTAATTTGAGTTTTTAATACTAAAAAATTGAAATAGAGGGCCAAGATTCTTCAAAGACCTGCATTTCATCTTGGAAATCAGTTTAGAATGCACTTTTTAAAAATCAAAACTTGATGCAAACATTTTTTTCAAATCTACATAAAACTGTCTGTAGCTAGCCAGCCCGAGCCTCTGATCTAAGATTTATTACTTTTAAACCTCTCAGAGTGGGAGAAAAAAGAAGGGAGTTCTCGTGGCCTAGAGGTAAGGCGTCCGCCTCTCATTCAAAAAGGTCCTGGGTTCTAATCCGAGGAGCCACGAAAAATGTTCTCTAAAATTGTTTCCTTTCACATCCTTTCCTGCTCTCTAACGATGTTCTCCACATTTTGCCCCCACCCCCTCACCTCCTTTGCCCCCTCCTCTGGGCTACTGACTCTTTCTGCAGCCTTTCTGCTGCTACTCTTTGGCTCCTTCTTACTGCTGTCTTTCAGCCACACCCCTGATTTTCTGGTAGGAAAGATCTACATTTAGTCTTCTCAGACAAGGGCGAAAAATCTTGGGGGTCCCATGTGCAAGTTGTGCACGATAAAGATCCCTTAGTTGGTCTAAAATCGATAAGAGGTAGGCTTCGGCCGCCACTCGGGCAGAATGCAAAATTTCCTACCATCTGAAAATGTTTAGATCTAAAAATGTGTACCGCGCTCTCATATATTATGACCTAGTTGCGAGCGCCGTGTAGCCGTAAAAGTAAAACATTAGAATCTACTTACCAAAAAAAAAGGAAAAGAAAAAAGAAAAAAAGGAGAGGGAGGAAAAAAAGAAAGTCGGTGAGAAAAGGGAAAGAAAGAAAGAAAGAAAGAAAGAAAGAAAGAAAGAGGGGAAAAACACTCTAATCTAGATTTTAAAATCTAGATCTAGATTTAGATCTAGATCTAGATCTAGATATAGATATTTAAGATATAGATATATATCTAGACCTATTTTAATTGCTACACAAAATTATTCCCTTCATGCAATAGAGGCCTACTACTACTTATATAACAAATATTTTTAACACAAAAGTCATCTCTCGGCCTAAAACCGCGTTCTTTCGCAAATCACAGCCAGCGTTTCGTTCGTTCACAAAATACTGGTAGACCACAGAATTCTACACAAGTGTAGAATTCTGTGTGGTAGACTAGCCTAAGTCTCTGTTGATCCGTTCGTTCATTTCCAGGGTGTCCCTAGGCCTAATTGTTCGTTCGTTCACCACCTTGTCCTATCTCTATCGGTGCGTAAATCTAGATCTATTCTAGATCTAGATCTAGAGTGACAAAGACGGTGTCGTTGGGCTTGTCGATTCTAGGCCTAATAATCCTAGCCTAGCTTGATCTTTTTTTAAAAATAAAGCAAACTTGTAATTTTAATGTGGATTATCACAAATAGTCCTAGACTTCTAGATCTAGCAGATCTAATACGACGAAGTATGAAGATGAAGGCGATCCGCGTGCTTTCCCCCCCCCCCCCCCCCCCCCCGAAGGCCAAGGCTAGATCTATGACCTGGCAGTGGAATACTGGAATAATCTATATCTAGATTCTCTATATCTAGATCTAGAGATATAATCTAGATTCTAGGTGAACGTACGAACGACCAGAGACGTAAAAACGAATCAGTCACATAGAATTTAGGCCTAAATAGATCTAGAATCAGATCAAATCTAGGCCTATAAAAAAACTAAGTGCCATCTAGCAGAAAAGACATACTTACCTCAATTCCTTGAAGACTGAAGAGGTTTGTTTTAATCCCGATGTTGATCGCACCACGTCAAAAAAGCAAAGGACTTTGGAAAGCGCGCGCCTTCGATGCTAGGCCTACTGTTACACAATCGAGACTCGCGTGACCCAAGTCCAAGCTCTCGTTCTGTGTTGGTTGTTTGTTTAGGGGTTGTTTTTTTTTTTTACCAAAACAAGAAGTCATTTTAATTTTTTAGATTACAAATTGACGCTTTGTTGCCAGTGTTAAGCCTATTCCCCACGCTTTCGCACAAATAAACCGTGAGTGGAAACGCAAAATTGCCATTGATGAGGGTCGTGTGTCACTTCTCCTCAGTCGGAGACGCACGTGACCTTGCTGAACATTTCTTTTGAAATTAGGCCTAGATCTAGATATATCTAGATCTATTACCTTTTTAAAAAACTTTTGGTCTTGAACTTAGTTCCACTTGTTTAAAAATTAACTTATTAGACTTTCCATGGCAAAAAATTACCATTGTCACCTTTTTTAGTTCACGCTATTTCTGGGGAACTTGCATCATGTGTCTCTATTGTAACGCTCGTGATACTAAAATCAAGAAAATAACAAGAAAACAACACCATACTTTTTTAATTACTGTCTCTTTAATGACAATTTAGTACAAAAAAAATAACAAAAGAGAGTCAAGCAAAGGGTTTGTGAAAATTGTAAGAGGCATTAATTAATTCCTATTTAGGACTGTGTTAGGAATGAGGAAGATTTGTGAAAGCTACATCAACCGATGAATCCTGGGAGAAAATGTTGTTACTGAAGGTTAACAGATTTGACTCCGAACATTTTTTTTAGTTTGTGTCATATCATGCCAAATAAGTAGACTCTAGGCTACAGCAGTGCAAGAGCTGACTTCATGGATTGTTTTGTTTGTGAGTCTCTATTGTAATGTTCGTGATACTAAAATCAACAAAAACAAAGAAAATAGCACAAGAAAACAACACCATACTTTTGTTTTACTGTCTCTTTAATGACCATTTAGTAAAAAATAACAAAAGAGAGGTCAGGCAAAGGGTTTGTCAAAGTTGAAAAAGGCATTAAAATTAGGCCGGCACTATTTCTCCGAACGTTCGGGAAAATAAAGCTGGGCACTATTTCTCCGAACGTTCGGGAAAATAAAGCTGGGCACTATTTCTCCGAACGTTCAGGAAAATAAAGCTGGGCACTATTTCTCCGAACACTCTGAAATATCATCCTTTCCCCCAAATTTCGGATATTATATAGATCTATAATTATAGTATGGGCCTACCAAAGATTGTTCGTATACAATATGGTTCAATAGGTCCAAAAAATGTCCGCCGTAAATATTTATATAAAGAAATGCTACAATTCCAAACAGTTTTTCGCTATAGATATGACGTGTTGCCTATGAAAGGTGCTGCTTTTAAACGTAATGTGTTTTGTTCACTCGTGTGCTGTCTAGATCTAGATCTACGGAGGGTTATTGATAACTACACATAGAACTGGCATCTGCGTTTGTCACTGCTGCGACCAATGTACTGACACTGGCAAGCCCCTTAATGTGTGTGATTCCATAATTTACATGTAATATCCTGTACTTTTTTTTAAAAATTACGCACATTTAGGGTTAAAACTGCCAATCTTCTTCGGACAGGTGGACACACGCCCTTATTTGTTAATGTTTGTTGTTGTTTATGGGCTGTTCTAATTTTGATTTCTTTCTGTTATGAAACCTTTCTTTTTCACGTTTTTACACTCATCTAAAAATCTCATCTAGACTAGCTGTTGAAAATTTAAATAGATATAGACCCAAAAATTTGCTCCTGTGTGTGTGTGTGTGTGTGTGTGTGTGTGTGTGTGTGTGTGTGTGTGTGTATGTATGTGTGAGTGTTTGAGTGTGTCTGTGTGTGGTAGTAAGTGGAGAGTGAGGAGTGTGTGTGTGTGTGTTTGTTTGTTTTTCGGGCTTTATTTCAGCCTTTATTCAGTAACAGTTCAAAGTATACAAAAATAGAAACACAGGATCCATTCACTCCAGGACTCATGAGTCATTCGTCTCTTTCAGTTTCACTCTTTCATTCAATTCCCGTGTTCTCTCCCGCGGCTCATCCCCGTCCGCATGACTTTCATACCCCACCCCATCCCTCCAGGCACACACAAAGAAAATCTCACTTGTTCCCTGCGAACCATGGACAATAATATAGGCAAAACACCGCCTGAGCTGCATTCCTTTTGTTCGTGAGCTGTGGACCAGGCCAGGGGTGGTCAGTGTCGTCGTCTTTTAGTTGCTGTCGCCTGTGGATACACTCGCACATTCTTCCTTTCACCCGCTCTTTCACTCACACTGTCTCTCCATCCACAGTTCAGCTCGTCATACGTTCAAAAGTTGCCCACTAGTTATGTTTAGTTAGTGTGTGTACATGTGCATGATGGTGGTGTGTGTGTGGTGGGTGTTACTGAAGGTTGTCTGTAGGCGGGCTTGCCATGCGGTACGTGTTCCTTCCCAGACCAGAGGCAGAGGCAGAATGAAAGTTGGCGCCGAACTCTCGCAATAAATAGGCAAAAAATCACGAGACCGGAAGCCGAAAACCGTTCGGAGAAATAAAGATCGGCACTATTTCTCCGAACGTTCGGAGAAATAGTCACTTCGTTAAAATTAATTACTATAATATTTAGGATTGTGATTGTGTTGGGCAGAAAGATGTGAAAGCTATCAACCGATGAATCTTGGGAGAAAATGTTGTTGGGGCCTACTGAATGTTAACAGATTTGACTCAGATGCAATAAATAAATTTCATGACAAAAGAGCAATTTTTTTTTAGTTTGTGTCTATCATGCCAAATGCATGTAGGCTACTACAAGAACTGATTTCATGGATTGTTTGGTTTGATAAAATTTTACAGCAATCCCTTGCAACACAGCTCTTTCTTATATAACCATTGAATAAAAATAGACAAAGATAGCATAAAGAAATTTGTATAAAGCCCAAAGCGCTTTAGAATCAATTCAATTGTTCCCCCTACCCCCCTCCAAACCTTTTGCCCAACAGATTAAATGAAATCCTTCCGAAACTTTCTAAATTTACTGCGAAAAATATAGGATGTGGAGTAGCATTCGCCTCACTCAAGCTAACTGTGCTCAAACACTTGCATTCGCATTCTGACAATATCATCCATTCTTCGATTTTAGTTTTAGTAAGAGTTTTACAGCACTTTCAACTCAATTAGTACAAGTAGATAAGTGCCGAGGAATAGATGTTTCAACAAGAAAATAACATAAGGGCAAAAAAGGAGGGAAGATAAAAACGATAGATATTTAAAATAGAAAAGAAGGAGCAAACCACATCAGAGCACCCACCAACCACATCATTCCTTGTCTGTACATGGGTACCTCTTGGGTGGGGTGAGAAAATGATGGTAGAATACATGATACTATGAAAAGAACTGTGGTTCAATACCTATTTTTAGGGTATATAAAATGCTGCCGGGGTTCCAACCGGGACGATGCATGTCCCAGTTGAGAGCTTCAAGAAACTCAACACTGAATTGAATAAACTTAAAGGTGAGTTAAATATATAAAGAAAATAAAGACACAAGATTTTAACTATCATAAAGAAAAACAAGAGAAGGCATAACGAAAGCACACACAAACTAAATGCCTCACTGACCTACAAAATATCTCCAGGGGTTTCACGGGGCAATATATATGCCCCGATGTATTTCACCATAATTTGATCTTTTGCAATTAGGTCTGATATTTTCTTGAAAACAACTGATTTACGAGGCTTTTACTGGTTATATAATGTGTGTGTTCAGCAACTAAAATGACGGCAGTTTGCCACTAAAAACAGTGCATCTGCGTGTGGGTCTAAAGTTAAAATTTAGACTACCCTTTTTCTTAACCCAGCAGAGTTTGTTGAAAACTACAAAGTTCTATCTGAAAACAGAACACTCTATGTCTGGGAATAATAATCATAATTAAAATGACTGAAAACCGCCGGGAACAACTCATATATTGCATAGAATTTGAAAATTTGTACATTCTGAACAAGCCAGAAAAGCTTGGCTTCATGACCATGTTGTGAAACTCAAAATTTTTAACTTCAGATTCCTCAAAACTGGGTTCTGGGCAGATACAACTTCTGAGGTAGTGACTAGACAAACATTGGGTAGGTAAATAGTAAATATAACTTAAGTGAGCATACCTGGTGAAAGTGAAAGGTACCAAAAGACGCATTTGTTCGAACTGAGATCAGGCTTCAAAGGTAAAAAATATAGTTTTTGACAAAAATAAGTTCCATTGAAAATGGATTCTTTAGCCATTAATCCATATTTACATGGGATTTGAGTTTCTTTTACTTTAAAGTACACTTTTAAAGATTTTTTAAACACGAGGTATATTGCATAATCCCCAAAAAATGAGTGAGAAAATTTATTTTCCGGCTAAACACTGGGGATGGTTTCTCTTGTCCATTCATAAGATCCAATCACAATACTTACCAAAATTTAGGTCATTCTCTTCCCTCTCTAATGGAAGGTTGTGGGCATAAATATCTAACATGTGTAAACAAAGCAAAGCTTTAAATGCATCCACACCCTTTTTTTTCTTTGGAAAGCAATTTTGTATCACCTATTTCTGCCCTGTCAAGGTGGTGGTGAATTTGAACACTTTGAAGCTGTTCTTTTATCTTAGGCCCTAGTCGCTTTATAAAGTTGTTTTGTGAGTAGCGACTGTGTTCTCAGGTCGTCTCGAACAGTATAGATGGAAACTCTACAACTGTTTTTCTCAAAACTTTGTTTCTGTACCCTGTCTTACAAAATCACCTAGAATATCTCAAAAACTACTGAGGATATACACATCTTAAAAATTCAAAAAGCATAGGCCTATCGTTCAGAAATGAACTTGCAAAAAAAAAAAAAAAATGTAAAACGGGATTCTTCAAAAAGTGTCATTTGGTACCTTTCACCAGGCACACACACACAGAGTCTAGTTAAGTGGAGTCGAGAAACTAGAGTCGACAAGAATCAGAATAGGGCCTAGATCCATTCTATACACATGCGACTACACGCAGGGTGCAAACCGGGCTACGATTGGCAGAACCTGTGACCCATGAATACATTACGAGGCCTGCGGTAGGCTAGGCTACTCTAAGCGCTCTCGACGACACCCTCCCTGTCACTCTCACCACCCTCTCTCCCTCTTTCCCAAGGCAGGGTAACAAACGAAAAAGTCCCCAATTTGTCTATTACTACGCCTACTAGATTCCTCTTCTTCTTCTCTTCTATTTCTTCATTTTCTTCTAGTTCTCCTCCACCTCTAATTCTTCCTGCTTTTCATTCTCGTCCCCCTGCTTCTTCTTCTTCTCCTCCCTCCCTCCCTCCTCCT